CCGCGCTACCGAGGCAGCCAGCCCCGCGGGGTCGGCCTGGAGGCCGCCAGGACGGACAAGCAGGTGAGCAAGGCCACCCTCCTGTGCGTCCTGGACGCTTTAAAAAACTCAGGCGGGTCCAGAAAAACGGAGGGGTGGAGGTAGGGAAGAGGACAGGGCGGCGCTGCGGGGACAGGGTCAGGAGGTGTCACCCTCCCAGAGGGATGCTGGGGCCGCTCGGGTCTGGTGGGAATTCCGGTTCGAGTTGTCCTGGGGAGCAACCTTGTGTGTCAGGGAAGCGTCCACGTTGGTGGCCTCGCCGGGGCGCCACAGGGGGGTCCACAGACGATGCTGGCCTCCCAGGGCACCGCCGACAGCACCCGGAGACCACGTCCAGGAAGGGCGTGGCTCCAGCCTCTGCCTCCCACAGGTGTGTGAGCCCGAGAACCCCTGCAAGGACAAGACTCACAGCTGCCACAGGAACGCAGAGTGCATCTACCTGGGCCACTTCAGCGACCCCATGTACAAGTGCGAGTGCAAGACGGGCTACGCAGGCGACGGGCTCATCTGCGGGGAGGACTCGGACCTGGACGGCTGGCCCAACAGCAACCTGGTGTGCGCCACCAACGCCACCTACCACTGCATCAAGGTGAGCCGCGCCGCAACCCCCTCGGTGGGGAGATCGTGTCCGTCGGGCCATGGCCGGCTGCAAAACAGCGCAGGGACTGGGGACGGGGCGCCCAGCCTGGCCAACGTCGCTCGCTGGGTGTCTGTCCTGCACATTTCCGAGCGCCAGACTAAGTGCTCTCCATCCATTTCCTGACATCCCAGGGACACTTGTTACAAAGTAGCTGTACTCTCACACCCTCGTTTGTGACTGAAAACAGACCCTGAAGCCAGGGAGGGGGAGGGGCGAGGAGCAGTCACAGCCCGTAGCTGGACACCTGAATGTCCTGACACACAGTGGGCCAGTCTGCGGCCACGTGGTGAGACCTAGTGAGCATCTGTCTTCACGAGACCCAAAGAGTGGGCGACAGTGTAAGGAACCAATTCAGTCCCTGGGAGGATGACCCTCGGGACCTAGGACAGGGTACAGGACTTCCCTGAGGCCGTTGCAACAAATTTCCACAGGTGGGGGATCCAAACAGCAGAAATGTATTCTCTCCCCGTTCTAGAGGCTAGGCGTTCAGAATCGAGCTACAGAACCAAGGTATGTGGCAGGGCCATGCGCCCTCCGGAGGCTCCAGGGCGGACCCTTCCTGCCTCCCCAGCTTCTGGTGGCTCCAGACACTCCTGGGCTTCCCGAGCTTACGACCGCATCACTCCAGTCTCTGCCTCCCTCTTCACAACACTTTCTCCAATGTGTTCCTGTCCCCAAACTCCCTCCACCTCTCTCTCATGGGGATGCGTGTGGTTGCATTTAGGGCCCACCTGGATAACCCAGGATAAGTACCTCCCTGCAAGATCTGTAACTTAATCACATATTTTGCCACATAAGGTGATATTCACTCTTTTAGTTTATAAGGTGATATTCACTTTTGCCCTGTTAGGTGACAGTCACTCTTTTGCTCTGTAGGTTGACATCCACTTTTGGCAGATAAGGTAATATAAACAGGCTGCAGAGATTGGGATGTGGGCATATACTTTGGGGACCACCATTCAGTCCACTACACAGGGTGTCCCAAAAAGTTTCAGTGCAGTTTTATGCCTTAATAACTTCAGAAGTATAAATGTTACAAATTTACAAAAAAATCCTTTGAAAGTATAAAATGTTCATGTAATATTTATTCATTCTTGTGAATTTTGAGTAACAAAGTTTTAATTTTAATTTTCTCTTTCAGTCTCTCCTGGTTAAAGATGGCAAATATTAAGAGATAAGCTTTGAGATTAGGGAGGCGCCGACCCTGACCCTCCCTGTCCCCCTGCCCGCCTCGGGCCACCCTTCCCCACTCTCCCTGACACATGCTGCTGGAAGCATAGCACTTATTATTATTATTTTTTTTAATTTTTGTGGAATTCCAGACAGGAATTTACTAACTTCAAAAATGGCACACGATAATTCACAGATTTTGTATGTATACATACATACGAGTGTGTATATACACACGTGCACGTATAATTTATGAGGACAAAAGGATTTCCAAGTGAGACTTAGCCAGAAGCCCATAGGCCTGGTTTCCTCGTCCACCTGACGCAGAGGTGCTGTGTCTCTGCCGGGGCCCCTACCTGGGACCTGTGCTCCCCCAGGAGCCGAGCACCCTCTTTTCTTCAGCAGGCAGTGTTGGAACTCTGGCTGCAGGACACGGCCCCCGAGTGCTGTGCTTGTGATTAGATGAATGGTCCATGTCCAGTGCTTCCGGAGGAGCCACCCCTTGGGGCTCTGAAATGCGTGTTACCGTCATTAGAACAAACCCTTTACTCCCTATCCTCTCCTGTTATTTCCAGTTCCCTCCAGTTGTTAGTGAAGTGCAGCTCAGTCCTGAATTATACTGTGGCTGGACTGAAACAAGATGACTCCCCCGCACTTGCACACTGTAAAAAGCTGAATTAAGGGAGATAATTTCAAGTCCTAAGCCTCGGTTTCTGAACAGACCACATACACCTTTAAAAGGTTCTTTTCTTTGAAACCTACTGGCGAGTGAGGGTTAAAAGTTTGCAAGCTTTGGCTTTTGATTTGTGGGCTGAAGTTTGTGGGAATGAAGGAGGCCCGGAGTCCCCTGTCCTGTGCTCCGTTTTCACGGAGCGGTGGTCCCTCGTCCTCCTGTGTCTGTGGCTGTTTGGCAACCTCGCTGCGATCCTGGGCTCACAACACAAGCTTCTTTGTCTCAACTAACTAGTAGTGGTGACATAATTTCTAGGGCAGGACTTGAAAAGAGAAGCCTGTGCCTCTGGCCGTGCTGGCGTGCTCTCGCTGTTCTGCTTTCAATCGAGGACAGATGTCTGACATTTACGTCCTCAGCGCTGTACTCATTGTGTTGTTACACTTACGTTCCTGGAAGAAGGGGCTTTCCAGAATGTTTACATCACTATCCTCCCTCTAATTGCAGGATAACTGCCCTCATCTGCCTAACTCTGGGCAAGAAGACTTTGACAAGGATGGAATCGGAGACGCCTGTGATGACGACGACGACAATGACGGCGTCAGCGATGAGAAGGTAAGGCTGGCTCCTGCCGCTTGAGCACCGGCTCCCGACGTCAGGAGTGGAGCGGTCAGGGGGAGACCCAGGCTTTGCACCGAAGAGTCCTTGAAATGCCGTTATCTTGACAGGCGTTTGTGCATAATTAATTCCCCAGAGTCACTCATAGAGACAGGTGGTCATTTACAACAGCAGGTGACTCACATCTGCCTTTCACTGATCCATTAAGTCACTCACTCATACATTCACTTCACGTGTACACATCTATCCTCACAGCAAAGTATATGGAATATTACCTTTGCTGCAGAAAATTCTGAAAATTTTAAAGAGGACAGATGCATAAATGATTTTAAAATGATTTAAAATGTAAAAAGCGTTTGGTGAGGGCTGACTGGCTTTCGTTTTCCTTATTTCTGTATCGTTATTTTGATCTGCTTCGAGTGCATAACTTCTAAGCGCTGAGCTATTTTATAAGCAATGCAACAAACATTCTTACGTTCTATCCTAAATTCTTCCCTTGTGATTTTTCTTAGGACAACTGTCAGCTTCTTTTCAACCCCCGCCAATCTGACTATGACAAAGACGAGGTTGGGGATCGCTGTGACAACTGCCCATATGTGCACAACCCTGCCCAGATCGACACGGACAACAACGGAGAGGGGGACGCCTGCTCTGTGGACATCGATGGAGATGGTCAGTCCGTGGGTGGATGTGAGGTGCACAGTCAGAAGTATGTGCAAGCTTCACAGTTTATTCCAGATTTTCCACAGGCTCCACGGATCTGTATACAACTGTGAGACTACATGGTTCACTTCAGAGCTAATTCTCAGAAGAGCCCATCAGTATTCTGCCCCGTCTTTACCCTTGGGTCAGGGTTCACCAGCCTCAGGACTGCCCTTTAGAAAACTGTGCATTTCTCTGCCCCAGCCTCAGAGTCCTGCTCTCCTGCATGGAGTCTTCTCTGTGCACACCCTCCTCCCCCCCTGTTCAAAAGCTCCAAGAATCCTGTCCTCTCTGCTCATCAAACTGTGCTCTTAAGAGAGGTCTGGGAAGAGCTCTCTGTCTCTCCTGGGCATCTATATCTGCACCCTTCTTGCAAATCCCATGAGGGTCCCAGGCACCCCAGACAGTCGGAACAAGGTGGTACCCTGTGGTGACCTCTGACACATCTGGTGGTTACTTGCCCTGAGACCCCGTTGGCCTTGGTGCATGAGTCCTGCAACTCACAGCGCCACTGTCACAGCTCGGTCACTGCTTTGCTCAGGACATTGGGAGACCGGCAGTGCTCCTGTGGAGCCGGCAGCAGCATGTCCTCGCACACATTTCCCCCAGGGGGCCACAGAGGGCCTCACCCAGCCGTCTCCTTGCTGGTTTTCCCCAGCCCTGTGTCCACTTCAGCCCCTCTGACTCATGCTAACCTGCTGCCCTGCGCACAGCGTGTATTATCGGTATAAACCTCTCGGTCGGTGTCTGCACACACCTGTCTGGGACACGTCTCAGGCTGTGTGGCAGTGGGGAGTTCTGCGCGCTCCCGGGCCGGGTGGGCGTCTGCGACATGCTGACTCGGGGCCTTCACTCTACCCACCCGGCCGAGGCAAGGTGGGCATCTCGGCTGGGTTTGGTCGGGCTGATTGGTGATGTTTAGCTTTGTCTCGTGGGTCTCACACCTGACGGTCCGGCGCTGACTCATGTTCTTTCATCACTCCAGTGTCAATGGAATTTATCATCTATTTTCAGATTTTTGAAAAAAGGTGTTACATCTAAAAACCCTGCCAATCACTGCCATTGTGTTTTCCTGCCCGTGTTCATGCGTGCTAAGGCAACATGGTCTGGGAGCTAATGAGTGCCCAGGAAGTCGAGGCGCAGTTTCTGAACAGATACTGAGGGAAGCAGATTTGCGCTGTGACAGCGCTGACCGCTCCTGACCGTGCAGCATCACCCAGAAATCTCCAAGAACTGGTTCTGCTTAAGCTCAGGGAATTTGAATTTTTAAGAGAAATATGTCGTGTGTTCTTCCATGAATCTAATAATCTTTACATTTTACCATTTTTTTTAGATCTTTATTATCATTATTAAGTAAAAGCTTGGCTGTAGGTTATTTAACGTGATGGGAAAAGTCGTGCACTTTTCCTAAACTCAGCATGTTTCTGGTTTTTTTCTTTGAACATCAACAGATGTCTTCAATGAAAGAGACAACTGTCCCTACGTCTACAACACGGACCAGAGAGACACGGATGGTGACGGCGTGGGGGACCACTGTGACAACTGTCCCCTGGTGCACAACCCTGACCAGGTAATGGGTGTCCGTGAGCAGGGGCGCAGGATCCTCATCCGTCACATGCACTCATGTGACTCTATAGCTTTCCATTCGCCCTGCCGAGACATGACGGCATGGGGTCTTTAATAATTTCAATTGAAAACATGTACTGCGCTCAGATCTCAGTGTCACTCTCGCATCCCAGCTGGAGATGCCTCGGTCTCACTGTCTGAAGCGAGGTTGTGTCCTCGTGGAATCCACTCCAGCTTCCCTGGCACAGGTGTAGGAATTGGCTTTGTTTCCAGGTTTGCCTTGGAAGGCAAGGGACAACCTAGTAACATGGTGATGTCGTCCGTGGACTAGGAAGGGACTGGATGGTGTGGCAGTTGACTTCTTCCCAGGGAAGAAGCATTGGTCTTCCTTAAGTAGAGCCCCTGCAGGGACTCCTGGACCCGTCCTAGCTCTGTGGTGCACAGCGGTTGACCTCAGGGAAGTCCCTTCTTGTCTTGGACCTAGGAGGAGGTGATTGGCTTCCAATCCCACCCTCGGGAGGCCCCTGCCTCAGCATTTACACTCGTGCTGTCTTCCTTATGCTCCTTCTTCCCCAGACTGACATGGACAACGACCTTGTCGGGGACCAGTGTGACAACAATGAGGACATAGATGATGATGGCCACCAGAACAACCAGGACAACTGCCCCTACATCTCCAATGCCAACCAGGCTGACCATGACCATGATGGCAAGGGGGATGCCTGTGACCCTGATGATGACAATGACGGTGTCCCTGATGACAGGGACAACTGCCGGCTCGTGTTCAACCCAGACCAGGAGGACTCAGATGGTGGGTGCCTTTCCCTGTGCATGAGCAAGGTAGAAACTGCTGTGCACCACCTGCATGGGTAGAGACACACTTTCCAAGAGGTCTCTTCAACACTCCTGGTGGGAAAAATGTGATGGTTCGGATGCCTAGACACCGGTGGGCAGAATCAGCTTTCTTCTGCCTGACCTGCATGACGTGTCTCTGGCATCTTGCTGGGTGTTGCTGTGCGAAGGGCACACGCGTGTATGTGGGGGGATGAGCAGTGATCTCAGCCTCTGTGCAGCGTGGTGGTCAGAACTTTGACCCTCTCTCAGGAAGAAACACAGGTTATGAACACAGGATGAATCAATGACTTGGTTGCCAGCGAGGGGACAGGGAGGATTTATTTTTTTAGGGGCAAAGCAAACAAAAACAGTGGGAATGTGAAGTGTAAGTCAAAAGATGCTCTCAGCCCGGCAGCTAATGTGGGCAAGTGGCCACAGTGCAGCGCCCAAGGACAGGACCCCAGGAGGGACGGCGGGCTGTCCCGTCGGAGTCCCTGTGTAGTCGTCGGTACACAGGCACACTCGTTGGTGGATTGAAGGCCGTGTAGCTCCTGACCAAGGCTGTGAGGAACTGGCTTCCAGAATGGAATCCTGGCTGGTCCAGGCGTGCTCTGGAAGACGCACACCCCACAGATGCAGATAAAGAATTGCTGGGTGTTTGAGCCAACATGACTCAGAAGCACATGGAAAGACTCACTGAGATGTGAAGGGCAGCCTAGGACCCTCCCTGAGCAGCACGAGGGACTTTAGCAGAAAACACAAAGCCTTGTCTGGACGCGAGACCAGGAGGCTCAGTTCCCACAGCCACTGAGTTGGGGGAGGTGGACTTGCTGGCTCCCTGCAGCCTTTTACCCAGGCCGGGGGCTGGGGTGGGAGGCGCTGGTGTGCAGGGGAGCGCTGAGTATTTTTTAAAGTGTCCTTATACGCGGTCACGTGCCTGTAGCACAGCAGGTGGACTAAAACTAGTTTGGAGAACGTATGATGTATTCAACTGAACTCGATTTCTTTTTCTCCTTCTAAAAGCATAGGCGATAAAGTGGGCTCATTTAGTATGCTGCATACAATCTGCCTGTAGGACTCTTGTCACTGCCGTGGACGGCATCGCTGTGAAGGTCACATAGATCATCTCCCTGTCTGCACCAGGGTGGCATGTGGCCCACCTGACCCCCACTCCCACCCACCACAACCCCACTGAAAAATTTGACAAGAAGTCTCCAAACAAAGAAGCCCACATCTCCCTAGAAAAAACCGCTTTTAGTGTAAGAGTTCTGCTCTAAATGCCACCTAACGTGGTTAAGAAAGGTGGTAACAGAAGTCCAGAAAACGATCGGAAAAAAACAGAGTGAAAATCCAGCTCGAGATTACTTGACAGACATTCAGATTTCAGACCCCCAGTTTTGAGTTTAGAACAAAGTGAGAAAAGACTCTTAGGGGAGTTTACCACAAGAATGTTTAGGAAAAGGTGTCAGAGCTCCTCACGGCGCCGGAGCTGAATGTCGTAAGGACTGGGGAACTTTAGTGTGCAAAGCGCCCAGCGCCCTGGACCTCAGGTCTGCAGAGAACCCAGTGCTGCTCTTCCAGGGGCAATGGCAAACCCACGCTTTGTCCCTTCATTTTTCTTTGCTGTTTGTGAGCAGGTGACGGGCGGGGCGATGTTTGTAAAGACGACTTTGACAACGACAGTGTCCCGGACATTGACGATGTGTGTCCCGAGAACAATGCTATCAGCGAGACTGACTTCAGGAACTTCCAGATGGTCCCCTTGGATCCCAAGGGGACCACGCAGATCGACCCGAACTGGGTCATTCGCCATCAAGGCAAGGAGCTGGTCCAGACGGCGAACTCGGACCCTGGCATTGCCGTAGGTGAGCCTCTGAGCTACCAGGACGGTGCCGCAGAGGATGCGCTGGAAAGTCACGTGGCTGGAGTCGCGCGATCTTCCCGGGGCCCCCCCTCCCTCTTTCGTGGTCTGCGGCACCAGAGCGGGGAAAGCATGGGTTTGCCTCTCCAAAGAGTCTCAAATTTAGTGTTCAGAAGGGCATTTTAGTGTATGGACTTGGTCTATAAAATACTACATCTTGCAGCCCAAACTCTGTCATAACCCTATAAATTGGGTCTAAAAACTCCTTTCGTTTTATTAATCTCACAGTGAAGAACCTGGATTGGGGGGATGTGTAGGGTCGCCTCCCATCTCTTTAGATCTGCCTCCCAACGATCCCAGGGTCAAATGCAGATTCCTGTCAAGGGCGTTTCTAATGAAATGTCAGGACTGAGTGTGTCCTCTGCATGTAGGTTTTGATGAGTTTGGGTCTGTGGACTTCAGTGGCACATTCTACGTCAACACTGACCGGGACGACGACTACGCTGGCTTTGTGTTTGGCTACCAGTCGAGCAGCCGCTTCTATGTGGTGATGTGGAAGCAGGTGACTCAGACCTACTGGGAAGACCAGCCCACCCGGGCCTACGGCTACTCCGGAGTGTCCTTGAAGGTGGTCAACTCCACCACGGGCACTGGCGAGCACCTGAGGAACGCGCTGTGGCACACCGGGAACACCGAGGGCCAGGTGAGGACAGCCAGGCCAGGTCGGCGCCGGCTCCTTTGATGGGGCTCTGTGGCTACCGAGGCATTTCACAGTGTAGTCCTCACCCTTTCCAGAGACACCCTGACTTGTGTTTGTGTTAATTTTGACTGAGGTCCCAGTCATTTTAATGATCTTGTGTGGAGTACCTATGTTACCAATGACACCACGCCTGGCACTTTTCTGACACAGTTGGCAATGCTTTTGCAAATTAAACATGTTCCCACTCTCTCCTAGAGAGAAGGAGAACTGGATTTCAGAAGGTTTAAGTGCTCGGTCCAAGGTCCCACATGGAGGAAGCAGGTGGTGCAGAACTCGAATCCATGGCTCTCGGGGCCGAGGGCCTGAGTTCGAGCACTGAATTGCCTCGCTCCTTATCAGTGGAGTTTGATCCTCACTAGAGATTTAAGCTGCAGATCACACCAGCGAGATCTGGGCCTCATGGGCCGTGAGGGTCAATGTCACGGTCACCTTTGTGCTTTCCCGTGGGGTCATGAAACTGCGGCTGAGACTCAGGGTCCGGGTTGTGCTCAAGGCTGCTGCTTTTCCCCCAGGTGCGCACGTTGTGGCACGACCCCAAAAATATTGGCTGGAAAGACTACACTGCCTACAGGTGGCATCTGACACACAGGCCTAAGACGGGCTACATCAGGTGAGGGCCGTGCGGGGCCGGCTGCATTCCAACCAGGTGGCCCCATCGGACGGCAACCTTGAACGTTAACAGACAAAAACGCCAGAGTAAATTCTGACTTTCACGCTCCTATCTGGATTCCTCTGCTTTAGATGCCTTCTCTTTTCTGTCCCGCATCTCTCTCTATACTACTTGTTTCTTAAATCTGTTGAGAAGAAGACAACGAAATGTGTCTGGTTCTTGAAGTAACGTGGGGCCGATGAACATCTTTGCTCCTAACGAACACCCTGGGCGTGGGAGAAAAACTACAATGAAAATAATCGCGTCCTTGCAAAATTAGGCAGCACCTCACTTTGGGAATGAGGTCATGTCTGTTTCTATTGGGGCAGATGGCTAAATGCACAACACATATTTGTGCAAAACTTTCAAAATGTCAGTCAAACAGAATTTTTATTCTCTTGACTTAGCATTTATAATTGATTTTGTTTTAAGCAAACTGGGGACTATTTAAAAATTAAGGTTTAAAATTTTTTTGGCAGAGTTAGTAAGAACTGAGGTCTGGTTGAATTCTTTGCAGATGCTGGGCTTGTATGTCCTTGGGTCCTAGTGAGCAGCCCCAGTTAGCTGGGGGACAGGCAGCTGCAAGGGCGTGGTGCTTCCTTGGGGTGTCTCTGTTGACTCCCCCATGGCCTCGTCCTCGTCCTCTGGCAGCGGCTTTATGCATCAGAGCATGGCGGGTGGAGCTGTTTCTCTCTCGTGCAGCTCTCCTAGCAGGGGAAAGGCAGGCAAGCTCACGATTTTAATGGAAGATGAGGCCACTCAAATAACAACACAAGTGGGAGAACCTGGTGCCGGCACCCAGGAAGTGCGACTCGACTCCCTCAGAGGGCCCCAAGGAAATGTCCCTCACTCCACCAAGCTGCTGTCTGGCTCTTAAAGGCAGAGACTGCTCTGAAACCCTTGCTTGGGAGGTCATAAGTGAGCTCATTCGTTGTGGCAGTGGCAGGAGTTTCGAGGGGGGCAGTGGTTGGGGCTGCACTGTGAGGGGCGAGCATGCACCACCCTGGCTCTCGGGGGCAACCTGAGCAAGGGTCGGACTGCACCTGCCAGCAGCAGTGCTGGAGCCACCTCTTCCTCCGGGGACGGGCTGCACAGAGTTCATGACCAACCTCCCTCCCTCCCTCACTGTTTCTCTTTATTTCTTTTCTGTTTTCAGAGTCTTAGTGCATGAAGGAAAACAGGTCATGGCGGACTCAGGACCAATCTACGACCAAACCTACTCTGGCGGGCGACTGGGTCTGTTTGTCTTCTCTCAAGAAATGGTCTATTTCTCGGACCTCAAGTACGAATGCAGAGGTGAGTGTGGGAACTTCCCCGGGAGGCTCGCGGCGCATGAAACAGGAAGGGGCGCACGTTTAGCTTTTCCTCTTGCAAAAGCTGGGCCTCAGGCAACACACCCCGTGTGTCACGATGTGCACTGGTTTCATTTGGTGAGCTAGGATTGCTTTTGCTTCTTTGTTCTTTGTTTTAAGTTGAATGTGGACGCCTTTGGTAGGGCAAGCACTTTCTGATCACTCAGCCGTTCCACCCATCCCCGTCACTGTATTGTGCTCTATAGATTTCTATATTTTCTATACCTCCGAGCTCCTAAAGGCATTTTAGATTGATGCCCTTGCTAAAAACTGAAGAAAAGAAGAAAGAGAGAAAAGGAAGGGAGGGAGGGAGGAAAGAAGGAAAGAAGGAAAGAAAGGAAGAGGGAAGGGGTCTCCTTAGTTATCTCCCTGCAAGTATATTTGAACCAAATGCTATGGACCTCGGAGAGAACTTGAGTCCCATCTTGTTGTACCCCCCATGCCTTAAGATACACATGAAAATATCCTCATTCTACAGATGAGGTAAGTAAGGCTCAGAGATGCTTCTCAGAAACCACACATTGAAAATGATACACAAAGTGAAGAGATGTGGGGGAGACAAGAATCTTGTTTTCTCTGCTTGTTTCTGGTGAAGTTTTATTTTCCTTATGTTAGGCTGCCTTTGAAGTCATTTTATATTTCCATCCACCCATCCATCCTTCTATCTGTCTATTCATCCACGCTTTCATCTAAACATCATCTGACCATTCATCTGTCTTTCTGTACATCCACCCATCCACCCATCCACCAACCCATCCACCCACCCATCCACCCACGCATCCACCCATCCACCCACGCATCCACCCATCCACCCATCCACCCACCCATCCACCCACCCATCCACCCATCCACCTACCCATCCACCCATCCACCCACCCATCCACCCCCCTATCCGCCCATCCACCCACCCATCCATCCACCCATCCCTCTGTTCATCTGTCCATCCATCCATCCATTCATTCGTCCATCAATTCATCCTTTTGTCCATCCATTTATTCTTTTATTCATCCATCTTATCTATCCATCCATCCATTCATATTATAGATGTCATTTTTAAATAAATAGTGATAATTTAGGTTATAGATAAAACAAAATAAAACCAAACCCATGGTTCAGTCATCCTAATTCTGTTTATTTCTTTTTTAAATTTTTTTTTAGATGTCTAAGCAAGATTTTCTGCCTTTCCACCAATGCCTGGCTCATGCCGTGTTACCCAGGCACCTCAGTTCACCCCGGTCCTTGCAGCCTCACTGTGCAGCCCTCCTGCCTCTTGACCTTAACTCTGATGGTTCTTCTCTTCCTGCCATCAGCCCCAAGCCCAAGTGCCTTCAGCGGATAAATATTAATGGGACCCAAAGATGAATACCAACCACTACAGGAAAACATTTGGTGACACATGAGACTTCATGTGGAGTGAGAGTTGGGCGTGGCATTACGTTGCTTTTTCTCATTTGTTTAAAAAGAATGACGTTTACATATAAAATGTAAT